ATCCCTAAAGAACACAATCCCAAAACATTTTATTTGCCATAAAGATTAGGGTACAAAAAACAAACCTAGTCTGAAAAATCTTTCATTTCATTTGTTATCAAAATTCATTACATATTTTGTGATTGCACATACAGTAGATGTATTAGAAAATTTTTCAAACGAATTACATATATGTCTCTGACTGCGAAAATAAATTAATGTCATTTCTCATTTATAATGCTTTTCTAAAACTAAAAAAAGAATATATGCACGTTTATGAGATAGTCATCCTTACATTTTAACCTCTCGTTCAATTTACATACATGTGTTATCATGAAAAGCTAAAAGTTATTGTTTACACAAATCCAATTTTTCTAACTCGGATTATAATGATTATAGAGCTCAAACTCAAGAAGATAGGAACAGCCCCGTACATGTATCATTATTACATATACATGTACATGTAATACCGTTACGAGTGTCAAAGCTATACATGTATATCTCATTAATCATACATTATGCAAGAGATTGATTTGTTACTTCATCTTGTTTTCTTAAATGATTTTCACTTGCATAAATTTTGTACGACCAATCAACAAATAATATTTTATACATGCGCGTACAAGCGATAATAATAGAATAATAGTGAAAATATTTGCCATAATATTAAAAAATTAATAATAAGACGAATTAAAAATTTGGAATACATATTTAATAATATTATTATGGAGCCATCTGTTGGAAAGACTATTATAATAAAAACTCAACTGTTTATCTATTCGTTAAATGTCATTTCGTTGCTAAAAATTTTTGTTATTAGTCAAAACGTTTATTTGTGAGTGTATTTAAAAGAAAATGTTTCGAAAAAAATTTAAAAATGCCGCTAAAGTGATAGCAAAAACGTAAGTTATTTTATTGCTAATATAATAATATTATTATTAGTGTAAGTTCCAAAAAAATTTCATATCTCTCTTCGATCTTTGATTCCATAGTTCTATTATAACAAAAAAATTTTCACCTACACGATTCCTGAATCGAAAGCCTGCACCTGAGTTAGTCGACGATGTTCTGGAACAAATTTTCTGGATATTATCCGAACCTTCGGAAGATGATGGAGTACCTGGACTTCAAGCATATACAAACCTTTTTCGATGTATGCTAGTGAACAAAAGTTGGTGTGCTTCCGCAGTAACAATGCTTCATAGACATCCTTGGCGACTTCATCGTCTATACACGCTACGCACAACCGATTTGGCCTATGATCGATGTCAATTAGTGAAATTATATTTGACAATGTTAGATCGTGACGAAAGAAAGCCGCTGTTGGAAAAAGGGATTGAATTACCAGAGCCAAATCATAATCCAATGTTTAACTATCCAGCATTTGTCAAATATTTAGATTACGGAGTGATGGTTTCCTCTGTTTGGACTATTTATTCCACTAGTTGCTACACATATGATCAAAATGAATGGGTTAGTCTTGTAGTTCGCGCATTACTCCGACTTTTCGCATACCATACGAGAAGATTACAATGGCTTCGATGTGCACCAATGAGTTTTAGCTTTGATGAAATGTACTATTCGGTGCTAGCGGATCCAGAATTTAGCGA